CACCCAGAGAGTGGTGGTGGATGAGTCATTTTTGACCTGGAGGGATGTGGGCAGTGGGGTCCCCCAGGGCTCCGTCCTCGGACCCGCACTGTTCAACATCTTCATCAGTGACTTGGACAAGGGGGTGAAAAGCACCTTGTTCAAATTCACAGACAACACTAAGATGTGGGGAGAAGTGGGCACGCTAGAAGCAAGGGACAGGCTGCAATTGGATCTGGACAGGTTACAGGGGTGGGCAGATGAGAATAAGATGGTATTCAATACTGACAAGTGCAGGGTACTGCACTTAGGGAGAAAGAACCAGCAGCATACCTACAGGCTGAGGAACTCCCTTCTCATCAGCACAGAAGCAGAAAAGGATCTTGGAGTCATTATAGACTCCAAGATGAACATGGGCCACCAATGTGGGGATGCAGTCAGGAAGGCTAACCACACCTTGTCATGCATCCACAGATGCATTTCAGGCAGGTACAAGGAGGTGATCCTCTCCCTCCATGCGACACTGGTCAGACTGCAGTTGGAGTACTGCATTCAGTTCTGGGTGCTGTACTTCAGGAGTGATGTAGACAACATGGAGAAGGTCCAGAGGAGGGCCACCTGCATGATCAGGGGGCAGCAGGGCAGGCCCTACGAGGAGAGCCATGAGTCCTGAACCTGTTCAGCCTCCACAAAAGAAGGCTGAGAAGGGATCTGGTGGCCATTTATAAACTGGCCAAGGGAGACCAGCAGGCAGTGGGAAAGTCCCTGTTCCCCCAAGCTCTACTGGGAGTAACAAGGAATAAAGGTCATAAGTTGACTTAGAATAGATTCAAACTAGACGTCAGGAGGCGCTACTTCACAGTCAGGGCAGCTAGGATCTGGAACCAACTTCCAAGGAAGTGGTGCTCACTCCTACCCTGGGGGTCTTCAAAAGGAGGCTAGACGAACACCTAGCCGGGTCGTTTGACCCCAGCATTCTTTTCTGCCCATGGCAGGGGGTCAGACTTGATGATCTGCTCAGGTCCCTTCCAACCCTACCAACTATGAAACTATGAAACTATGAGTGAATGTTAAGACCCAGAAGAAAATGTGGGGACTTCAGAGATTTGCTAAAGAGAGAGGTTGAGAGTCAGAGATCTATGAAAGGGCTTGAAAGTACAGACCCACACAGTACAGAGAGAAACTGAGAGTGGGGGGCCAAAGAGTAGGGCCCAGACAAAGGACATGAGAGCATGGAAGGCCAGGGCCACAGAGTCTGAAAGGCGGGTGAAGCAGAGTCAGTGACTTATGACTCAGGAGCAGTGGCGATGTGTAGGGGGTGCACAAGGGTGCACGTGCACCCCCTGAGAGCACTGGAGCACCCTCTGACTGACCTGCACCACCCAATCCTGGAAGCAGCTGCAGCAATTGGCTTCAGCTATTGGCCATTGCGGGATGGCCGCAGAGGTTCCCCCCGGGCAGTGAGATCAGCCACACAGGGACCCCTCCCCCCTTGGTCGGCAGGACTGGTTGCAGGGGGGGGCATGTGCTCCCCCTAACTAAGGCAGCACCAGTTGCCCATGCTCAGGCTGGGCTAGGAGTGAGTGGGACCAGATGGGTCCAGAGGCTCAGAGTGGAGCTGAGTGAGAGAGAGATGGAATGAGAAGTCTGACAGTGCGGGGTGGGGGCGCTAGAGACCGAGAGGTTTGCAGCCCAGGAGAGGCAAGTGTTGGCAGGGCCATGTGCCAAGGTCTCACTGGCCCCAGGAACAGGGCCAGGACCCAGAGACACCTAGAAGCCCATAGCCCAAAGGGGTCTGGAAGAGCCCTGAAAGACCAAGGGGTCTGGCAATACAAAGGCAGAGCCCTAGAAAAGTCAAAAGGTTGAAAGAGACCACTACTAAAACTGCCAGAGCTGGGAGCTTGAGATCTCAAGTAGCTCGAGAAGGGGCCAGGAAGCCCAGAAGTGAGAGACTGTGTCCATGAGGGGTAAAGATTACCAGGGCAGAAGAGCCTAGAAATTGGTGCTGGGTAAGATGTGAAAAATATACCCGCTTGGAACTGGTTAATGTGGTGGAGCAACTTGTGGCAGGGTAGTCTCTACAAAATGTCACATGTTGCCATCTCAGGGAAAGGAGAGCATAGGGTGACTGAAAACCCTAACTCCCACTCCCACCCTTTGATGGAAGAAGGCTAGGAGGAGCATACCCTGACAGAAAAACCCTTGGTGAAGGCCAAGGAGGGAAGATGTGTGGCAGAGTAGACATTGAAGCACCTGTCACTTTAAGAAGAAAGGACTGCTGAAAAAGCAGCCTCTTCAGGGAACGAGGGGAATTGGCCTTGGTGAGGCTGCAGCTGGAGTATTGCGTCCAGTTTTGGGCTCCTCAGTTCAAAAAGGATGTGGAGAAGCTTGAGAGGGTGCAGAGGAGAGCCACGCACATGATCAGAGGTCAGGAAAACAGACCTTATGATGAGAGGCTGAGAGCAATGGGGCTATTCAGCCTGGAAAAGCGCAGGCTCAGGGGTGATCTGATGGACACCTATAAGTTTATCAGGGGTGTTCACCAGGATCTGGGGGAACAATTGTTCACCAGAGACCCCCAAGGGATGACAAGGTGGAACGGTTATAAACTCCTGCAAGACCGTTTCAGGCTGGACATAAGGAAGAACTTCTTTACAGTCTGAGGCCCCCAAGATCTGGAATAGCCTGCCACTGGAGGTGGTTCAAGCACCTACTGTGAACACCTTCAAGAAAAAATTGGATGCTTATCTTGCTGGGATCCTGTGACCCCAGCTGACTTCCTGCCCCTGGGGCGGGGGGCTGGACTTGATGATCTTCCAAGGTCCGTTCCAGCCCTAATATCTGTGAAATCTGTGAATCTCTGGATGATCTCCAGCATGGTAAGGGCCAGAGCGAAGGCAGCCATAGTATCAAAAGTGATTCTATGACCTGAACTAACCTAAAGGGAGTTGAACCCCTCCCTTTTTGTCTTTGTGTTTTGCAAGATGTGGCCCACTGCTAAAATAGCAAGAAGTTTGCTTGGTATGGAGAGGAATCAAGCTTGACTGTGTTATGCATAGTAATTGTGTTTTGCTGTGTTTGTGCAATACAATACTAACTAAGATAGACAATAACATGTAAAGCAAACTTCTTGATAGGCTAAGGAATATCTGTGGAGTGGCGACAGGAAATGGTAAATCACATGGAGCATGGCCTCTAGGACCTCAAAGAGTTTGGCCAGGTCAAAGATTGAGAAGGCCAGATTGACCATTTGCTTTTGCTGTCATCCTTTTATTTGTTTGGTTGGGTTTTTTTGCCTTGCCTGTGCTAGATATGGATTGTTAGATTTTTATAGTGGAATAGTAATGCTACATAGCTTTATTATTCCCAGAATTTGTGCAGAAACCTAGAACAAGAAGTAGAATGGTGGGATCTTGATGGAAACCAGGCATACTATTTGCACAGCAAAGGCCTGACCCTTGGCATTTCAACAGGCACTTGCAGGGTGGAGGGGCACTACTGGTGCTATGATGGCAACCAAGCCATCATGAATAGTCTGGTTAGGATGACAAGGAAAGCATTTCCTATTGTACAGGAGGGGTAAAATTGCTAGGAACATGTCTGGTCCTCAAAGATTCTAACCATGGGATATTTATTTGATCTAAACAGCCATCTTGACAGTCAGAAAAGGCACTGATTGCTGAGTGGAATGCTACCTGAAATGCTGGGTAAAAGGTTTAATAGGCATCTTGGGCTGTACATTCCCCAGCCCCAATATGGGAAGCCTGCTTAAACCTGATTGGTTAAAACTCAGTTACCAGGTTAGGGAATGCTGAGGGCAGCAGACTGAGTCAGAGGGGGTATGGGTGACATTTGTACAATGGTTAAGGGTTCATCACAACCTCCAGCCCATTGGAGACCCTGACTATGAACGCCATCATACTTTTCCCGGGACAGCTGGTGGAGGCCCTCCCCGCAAATCTCATAAACATTCCAGGTTTTTTCCTTGGTTATGCTCATTTATGATGTGAAGGTGTAGACCTTCAAGGAGGGGACTGATGGCTAGAAAATGGCCGTTAGAGGTTTGCTTTTTGGAACTGGCTTGTAGGTAAAGTAGATATGCATTAGAACAATTGTCCAGGGCTACAGCAAGTGTTAATTGATTTCTAAAAGACTGTTTCTGAAAGTTTCCACAAGGCCCACTGTGTCTGGCAGGCAAGCAGCAAGCAGACACACAGGCTGGGAAATTTAAGACATGTACCACACTGTTCCATAACATGAGATAAGGTGGCAACAGGTCACAGTGCCCAGCTGCAGAGCCCTTGGGATTTCTAGTTTTGGGGAACTGAACAGATTAGGAGAAACTTGGCAAAGTCCAAATTAGGATGTGTACATGTGATAGGTTTGTGAAACAAAGGAATATGCTGACAGGACAGAATGTGGACTGTATGCTGACCCCAGAAAGACCAATCAGGGAATCCCAAAGATGAAGAGTCATCAAAGAGGGAAAAAGATACAAAAGGGGGGATTTCAGAGCAGCATAGGGCTCTTGAGAGGGGAACCCAAGGCCACCATGTACAGAGGGCATTCCACCAGCCCATCTCATCCACCCCAGTGGAGGAGGTGGGCCTTGGCCTCCAACCTCCAGGTTACTGACATCTAACATTCAAAAGAGAACCTCAGAGTGAAGCTTGCATATTGGCCAGATGTACCTTCTCTGATGACAGCCCTGGGACTGGTAGATATAGAATTGTTTGCTTTATTCTTATTTGCTATCACTGTGTATGAATAAAATTTGCTAATTATCAAATGGAAAGGTTGTGGTCCATTTGAGGGTTTGGGTCCACCCTGAAGAAGGTATCTGGGTCATAAATCCAGTGCCAACACTTTCCAGCTTTTTAACCCAATTGATCTTGCCATGCTTGAGACACACAGCTTCCCGCTGATTGTAGCTTGCTATTTAAGTTTTGCATGTTTTCTGTATTTAAAATTGCTATTCCTGATCCAAATGCACCTAAACCAGTATCTACTAGGCTTTGAATGCTCCTTCCTTTTTGGCTTTTTCTTGGGGTTTTGTGAGTGCAACCTATCCAATTATCTAAGTTTTTTTGTATACTTAATGTAGCCGTACTACAATTGGGATACCTCTTTTTTATGGACACCCTTTTGGGTACCCCCTCCCACCTGGTCAGTTTTAAGGAGGTATCAAATACTATTTGTTTGGGCATACTTACCTTGACTAGCAATGGGGACCCCTTCTCCCATGAACTGTAGGGGTCTCATGCCATAAGAAGAGATTAATTCCCACATTTGGCGGGCCATCCTGGAAAAACCCATTTAATTTTTTTCATAAATGAGGGGATTGTTTTTAGTTGCAAAGTCATGTAACCATTGTTTTCACTATTTCTGTAGTTTAGTATGTTCCACAGCTCAGAGTGGCTCCATACTCCCCATCCTACAGTTTCAAAGGAGGGATGATGGACAGTTTTTCTCCTTCATGCTGAACCCCTCCCATTTGAAAATTACAGACGTATTGGGCCTTTGGTCCCAATTACTATTTGATCACAATTTAGTATGTCCTTACTCTCAATACCCACATTATACAAACCATTATAACCTCACTCTTCGTTGCAGATATTAGTTGAATTACTGCTCAGGCCATCCTTCTGTGTCAGTTGAACTGCATCTGAAACATAGTTGATAATGGGGCTTTACCCCTCATTAATTGTTTTTCAGGCCTTTAGCTTGGCATTGAAACCGTTTTTGCTTACACTTTTGTGTAATTTGCATAATTTGGGCATATTTTTACTTGATATATGGTTGGACTGGCTTTGTTAACAATTTTGAATGGTCCTATCCATAGGGTATTGAGTGCATGATTTTTCTCTTTTACCTTTCAATACAGCACCTGGTCTCCACCTTCCAGTTTCTGAGGATGAAATATGGGGCCTAGGTGCTTGTTCATTTTGTTCATTTGGTTTTCAAGGCTATAGTTATTTGCCTCTGTGTGGTGGTCACTGATTATAACAGGTTTTGTATCTATTGATCTTTTAGGATACAAGGTTGGAGGCTATCCAGAAGCTTCCCTCCTAGCCACCATTGTTTTGGTAGCTGCAACTCTGGATGTGTCACAACTTTGTGTGGGGAGATTCAATGCATGGCTACGGTTTCTCTTAGTGCCATCAATATTAAGGGTAACTTTTGATCCCAATTGTTCCCTTGTTGATTGACCACTTTTCACAAGGCAGTTTTTATGGTTTTATTTGTCCTTTTCACTAGACCTGAACTCTGGAGGTGCCCTGCAATGTGTACTCTGTTTTATTCCAAAATCTAGACAGATAGGCTGTGTGATATCTCCAACAAAATGAGAACCCTGATACTAATTAATTTTTTTGGAGAGCCCCCACCTGGAAAACACCTGTTTCACCAAGTCCTGTGCTGTAGTGGCAACTGTGTTGTTATGAGTGGGTATAGCTTCAATTCATTTTGTAAAGCTATTCACTACTACCAGGCAATATTTATTTTGCCTGGCTGTTTGAGGCATGGGGTCAAATATAGTTTATTTGTAGCCTACTCCATGGACTACTAATTCTTTGATTTTCCAGGGGTCCCTTAATTACTTTGGTATTAGGATTATTTGCAAGCAGTTGTTCATGAATGTGCATTTGCTAATGTGCATTATATTTAGTACCTCCATTATGAAATACTAGAAAAAGGCTCATTAGCTTATTTTAATGCACATTAGTGAAAGCACAGTTTTTTTGTGACACTAATGTGCATTAAAATAGGCTAATGTGCATTAAAGCACACGTAGAAGTGCCCATATTGTTTCACTTCCTCCCTCATACCTGGCCATCATCTCACTGCCTGCAGTCTTGTCAGGTTTTTGTTTATCCCTAAGAGCATTTATAGATGTGCTCTGAGGGGGGGCAGGAGCTGTGATAAGGGGGGTCCCCAGGCACCTGAAAAGATCAATACCCCCCCTGTTCTAGGGCAGTCTGCTTTCACTAGCTTCCCATGCCTTTGAAGTCCAATGATTTGATGTAGAATTTGGAAGGTTGCCCATCTGTGGCCCTGGTGTTCTGGGCCCATTACACAGCTCTGAACCATCCCTACACCATCCCATGCCTAGCAGATAGCATCCAAATCCATTATTACTCCCCAGCCCCTTCCTGGGCTTCACTTGGCCTCTGGCCCACGCAGGCTTTGGGTCCCTCTAAGTGGACCTTGACTCCTTGGCTCCTCACTGGGCCACTCCACTGGTCTCTGACTGGACTGATGCATTCACTCCACCCCCTCTTACCGGGGCTCTATCATTCTGTCCCTTGTTGGGCTGCAACTACTCCGCCCTACTCCCCACAGTGCTTTGGGTCATCTCTCTGTCCCTACTCTACACAGCCCTTCAGGCTACCTCACTCAATCACTCTGCCCTACTCCACACAGTCCTTTGGGTCATCTCACCAGCCCTACTCTACATGGCCTTTCGGGCTACCTCATTCATTCATTCTCTGGGCCTTTTGCCCCTTGGGCCTCCCGTCCCACTAAGTGGACCTTGGCCCCAAACCTTTGAGTACTCCTAGACCTGGCTCAACTCTACATTCCCCCTAGACTTATCTCTACCAGCCCTTATGATCATAATCTAGTTTGTCCCCTATATGGGGTAACCCACCAGGCAGTGAGGGCTGAGGTTTTACAGTGCCCTATCCTTGCCTTTCACTGGAGAGGCACAGATGTGGCATTTCCTGGAGACTATCTCACCACAGGCAGTCCTACCAAAACAACCAGCTCCAGCAAAGTACAGTTTCAGGTCTTACCCAAGACCATAAGAAACCTCCTCCATTCCCATAGTTCCTAGCCTAACTTCCAGGTGTTTTGGGAGCTGGTCTCCTCAGCCTGTGCAATGTTACTCCACTGGCTCCCTAGATGTAATTGCTGCCCCTGCTCCCAGGGTTTGGGTTTATATACTCCCTGCCCAGTCCTCCTCCAATCAGGTGGCTGCCTGTGGCCAGGTGACCACCTAATCGGGCCTGAGTCCACCTGCTGGCTACTTCATAGCTTGCCTAATGTTTTTAAAGCAGCAGGCACAAACAGTGCACTGCCACAGGGTGCATTACTTAGAGCAGCTCCAAGAGCTGCTCTAATTAAAGTGCCAGAAGCATTATGTGTATCAGCGTCCCCACACTGAAAAATGGCAGTGGGGGTGCTTTAACTATAGTTCATCAAATGAGCTTTAGTTAAAGTGCCCCCGTTGCCATTTTTCAGCACAGGAATGTTGATACATGTGACGTTGGAGTCTGCTGGAGAGCGGTAATTACTGCACTCCAGCAGACTCAATTAATCAAGTCAGCTTCAACATGCTGTAATTACAGCATGTTGGATCAGCCTCCCTGCACATGTATAGGAGCCCTAAGTGTCCATGTTCATGTGCCAGAGTTATCATTTTTCCCCTTATTCCTTCAGATACCACCCATATTGGAGCCACCTCCTCCTCCTCCTCCTGTTTCTGGGCTAAAGCAAATCCTGATGGCTCTTGCCAAGTTTTCCATCCTTTTCACTGCCCTTTGTTTACCAAATATTTTATCTCCTTGCTTTAAGCCTGTAACACTACCAAATCCACTGTTTCTTGGGTTCTTTTACCTTCAGCCACTATTGGTGCTTTATCAAGTATCCATTCTGGTCCTTCTCTGGCTCTATTTTTTGCCTGTAAATTGGCCTTCTCATTCCACTTGGCTTCCTCAGTTCCCTTTTTATGATCCTCTATTTTACTAGTATAGGTGGGTTCAATCCTTTCTTTTGCTAATTCCCACACATGCAACAATTTGGTGTCATAGTTTCATAGTTTCTAGGGTCGGAAGGGACCTGTGTAGATCATCTAGTCCGCCCCCCTGCCATGGCAGGAAAGATTACTGGGGTCAAATGACCCCAGCAAGGTGTTCATCTAACCTCCTCTTAAAGACTCCCAGGGTAGGGGCCAGCACCACTTCTCTTGGAAGTTGGTTCCAGACCCTAGCCGCCCTGACCGTGAAGTAGCGCCTCCTGATATCTAGCCTAAATCTACCCTCTACCAGCTTGTGACCGTTATTCCTGGTCACTCCTGGCAGTGCTCGGGGGAACAGGGACTTCCCCAGTGCTTGCTGATCCC